GACAAAACGCGGGACAAGAAATTTTTTTTACACTTTTTCATAAATTTTTCTCCAATATATATATATATATATGTATGTATATTTTAGGTTCGATCTCTGCACAAGGGAGTGAATAAGAACTGGACTAGATATCCCTAAACATACTCAATGAAACAAAAACAATCAATCTACGTAGATTAAATAAAGATATAAGTTAGGAATTCCTTTTATGTTACCAGAATCGACGATGAAGGAAAGAGAGCAAAATGGCTGAAACGTTGTGATAACAAAAACATAGGTGAGTACAACAGGCCGCATGTAAAAAGTGTAGATAATGATAACTTCTCATCTCAGAAAATTCAGAAATATATATATATATATATATATATATATATATATATATATATAGTCTTAAGATGTGCTATATTTATGGGATAAAGTGCTCAATATCAGAGATAGAGCGTGTGTAAATATAAAAGTGAACATAGAAGTCAACACTTAGAGGCAACACTGACAGGCCTGACGATTGCATCTAGCATGAAAGAGACTGTCGCCTTCTATGACTGTTGACTTCTCTGTTCACTTATATATATATATATATATAGTGGAGATAATGAGAAAAAGTGGAAAAAGCTTTTTTAACGACGCGTTTTGCTGACATGTGTTAGGTTTGCCGTCTTCAGGTTGGAATGAAAAGACAAAGTCGTCTAAATAAGACATAATACCTATATATATATATATATATATATATATATATATATATATATATATATATATATATATATATATATATATATATATATATATTAGTGAATGTTATATAATATCCAACGTCGATAGCATGACTCAGAACGATCAGAATATCTCCGGACCTGAAGATTGCATAAACTGCATGAAACTTCGAGTCGTGCTATCGACGTTGGATATTATGTATATTCATTAATATATACCTATTGCTCTGTTTTATAATACTGAGCACTGTATTTATAACACCTGAGGAATAAATATATTTATACGTACATGCAAGTATTTTTTGTCCTACCCATTCCAATATTTATTTATTATGATTTTATCATATAGACAAAATGGTTTTGTCTATATGATAAAATTATAAATAAATAATTATCGCTCTACTATCGGTATCGAGCCCTCTTTTGGATTAATGCTGTGAACGTTGGAATTTATATATTACTTTCGTTCTCATCTCATCGGATATATATATATATATATATATATATATATATATATATATATATATATAACGTTCTATCACATAATCATTGAATGTGATAATGTAATTTAATTTATTGTCCATCTTGTCCTCAAAAATACCAAATCATTTTCCTTACACTCACTTTTGTCTTTCATTCTAGAACCCAACGTAACACACTTCGGCGAAACGTATCGTTAAAATATTTTCCACTTTGTCCCATTATTCCATCATATATATATATATATATATATATATATATATATATATATATATATACTCGTTTGGAAAAAATAATATATATATATATAATAATATAAATAGTTATACTCGTTTGGAAAAACCTTAGGTATTTTGGTTTGTAATTGAACAAACCAATGCATAAGGGAAAATAAGGAATAAAAAAAGAAAGAACTAAGAACATGAAATTGAGGCGAAAACAATCGTCCAGAATTCAAGCTCAGAGTCCAAAGAAAAAAACCCCTCCAAAACGAGTAAAGCAAAAGTAACTACGTAAAGTGCTCAATACACTAATTAGGGCAAATCTAAATATGAACCTAAAGAGCCAGGCAATCCTACCTAGGTTTCACCTATGCGGATCGACCCTGACAATCCGTATAGGTGAAACCTAGGTAGGATTACCTGGCTCTTTAGGTTCATATATATATATATATATATATATATATATATATATGTGTGTGTGTGTGTGTGCGTGATAAAATATAATTTTAAAGTATGCTATGTAAATGGATAAAAGTACTCAATATCAGAGATAGAGCGTATGTAAATATAAAAGTGAACACTGAGGTCAAAACCAGGTAGTGACTCTTTCATCCCTGAACACAATCTTTAGGCCTGAAACACATTGTCTCCACTTAGTGTTGACCTTAGTGTTTTATTTTAGTTTTATTTTCAAGCTAATAGGTTACATTTAATATTTCCAAAAAGCAAAATGCTTTGCTATGCATCAAATAGAATTTAAATTGATTGGAGTCGTTAGTTTTTTTCATTATGAGTAAAAAGGTTAAAATCGTCATTAGAACCTAATTCTTTTTATTAAAAAATCTTTCAAAAATAAATTATACTTTTTTGAAACTTTATTTGCGGAAGATTAGATGGCTTAAAGTTTAATTAATGATTTGAAACAAATATTACTTCAAATATTGCTTAAAATATCGCAGAAAAATCATTTTTAACACGGGGATGGGAATTTTTATCAGGTGTCGAAAACTCTTTCGATAGAGTTATGTTTGAGAATTTTTCGAATTGGGACAATTACTTGGCAAATATAACGTGAACGTCTTTTTACAT